CGACTCAATATACTTGGTTACCATGTAACCAACCAACTACATACAACACTAAAAGTTGATACGAGATGTGTGAATACTTCTCAAGCGGGAAAAATGTGCTTGTCGATCTGTTGGAAATCGCGCGCGGCATTATTCTGCACTGCTCTCTTCATATTATTTCTTTCTATATGAGTGAGTGGATATCAAAGAGAATATTTGAGCTTAAAAACTGATGCGAATGGTTGAGTGACAGAGCGCTTGTGATGGGGCAAACAGATGCTGTGTGTGTACACGTACCACCATACTTGGATGAGCTGAAGCAGGACGAAACGAATTATCCAAAGAATTGATTCATAAGCGAAGAGGATGGCGCGCACACCAAATAAAAAATACAATGCGTGCGGGAAGTTTGATTTAGATTTGCGACAGACACTGAGCCAGTTCGTTGTATGCAATGATGTTATAAATCTAATTTCCATTCGATTACATTTCCCTCGATTGCACGCTCACATTCTCGTTTTCTTTCTGGTTGTCGTTTATTTTATTCCTTTTTTTATTTTCCGTCCTCTTCTTTCTCACCTACTTACTTACGGCACTGAATTGCCAATGTGTGTGTATGCGATGGTTTCGCCCAATGTTGGTGTAACCAAACATTATTTTATTGCAATTTTTTCCAACTAAGCGAACAAAATTATGAATGTTCTCGTATCACAAAGCTTTCTTCTGCCGTTTGACGCACTTACAGCATTGGAAACGGCGTCATTTATATAGGATCAACGATAGAGGAGAAATTCTGTTGAAGTTGCTGGAAAAATAAGAATACAATATATAAAGGTTGTCGATTACCAAACAGAGAGAGAGAGAGAGAGAGAGAGAGAGAGGCAAGTGAAATTGAGACAAATATCAAAGTTTGGAGAAAAACCATAAGTGTATGTATATTTTAAGGGGCAAGTCACTTCTGGTCACTTCTAATTCTTCGAATTCATTACACTTGTATTACGTTTCATAGGTTTCCATTAATTTCCATTAATTTTCATTACATTTTCATTGCTTTCTTTACTTTGTCATAAGGTTTTATTACTTCTCATGATTTTTGTTTTTTTTTTTTCTTCTGTGGTTTCCCCTAGGTATATTGTTGCTTTAACCGAATGTCAGATACAAGTTAGGAAACCCCCTCCCCCCACACACACACATATATATATATATACACTATGTTACGAAGACGCTATGGTTTTCATTTTCATGAGACGTTATGATGTTGATTTTGTGGAAAATTTATATTCGCCAAACAAATCTTCTTATGGCACGTTTATGTAAAATAATAATGTAAAATGTTTGCGCGAATCACAGAATTAATATGAATTAGGACTATCGTATTGATTTTCGAATGAATTTATTCCAACGACCTGTAACGGTTTTGATAATCTTCTGGTTGTTTCGAGCCCATTCGAATAACAACAGATAAAAAAAAAGTTTGTCATCTCACCATTATAGTTGCCAACTCAAACGCAATCGAAATTCAAATGCTATTTATAGACAATCGGCAATATCACAACACACTGTATATGGATATGATGTGGAAGGGAAAGTTCAATGAAATATAATAAATAAGAAATGATGTATATTTCTAGAAAAAAACAAAACTAGCATGATGACAGAAATCGAATACATTTTTCCACACAAATCGAGCGTAAATCATCCAAAATGCTCAACCTAAGAATCTTTTATATGTGTGGTTTTTAAAAACCTTGAGAACTGACTTTGCAATATCGATAGTTGATATATGGCCGAAATGGAAGAAAGAAGTGATAAGAGATCTTCTATGTAACTTTTGCCTAAAATGATGTTGTAGTTGAAATACAGTTGGCGCCACAAACAACTGTCAGTTAACAACAATAACTTTGTGGTGAATTCAAAAACAGTGTTTGATTTCTTAAAAAGAATGAAAAGATTTGTTTTAATATCGTATGAATTTCGTAGAAGCACAAGAATTACTATATAAATTACAATAAAACCGAATTATTTGGCCGAGAAAGAGTTGAAAATATTTATAACAGTTATGTGTTATGCGATTTCAAAATATATAAACTGCTTACGCTATTCCACACAAACACATTGATGAAATCATGTGCATTGAATTTTCATCGTTGATCTCGAATAATTCCTTGTTACCATCAGCGCGAATTGAAATAAAAATATAAATGCGTTCGTTGTACACTTTTCTTTGTTAAGCTTATTCTTTTTTCTTTGGTTATTACTCATACGAACGACAACTATGGAATGATTATATCACTAGTATTGACTTTAAAGTTTTTGCAATATTCTTGATGCATTCACAGTTTGATTTGGATTATTTACACTTTTCGGTACGACTTAAAGAAACTCTGACTCGGGTAATTGTATGCGATTACATTAGTGTATGATAGCCGACAGCTGACTGTAAAAAAAAGAATCTCAGTAATAAAACACAGACACTGAATTCACCACAAAGTTGTCAGTGGTGTTTGCAATATCTGTCTGTATGTGAATGTGTATGTGTCAAATGGCGTAAGCAGTGTTTATATCGTGAAAATATTAAGAACAGTATTTAAATCCAGAATAAGAAACTTTGTGTGTAACACGGTAAATGAATGAAATGTTGAATTAACCACGAAAATATTGACAACAAAATCAAATTTATGTAGACAGACGAAATTGTTATTGCATGTAGCCATAATTTGGCGAAATATATAAATAATAATGATAATAATATTGTGAAATCGCACAACACATTATTTTTATTTTCAACTACTCGGCCAAATGATTCGGTTTGATTGTAATTTATATAAGATTTTTTGTATGGAACAATAAAACAAATCTTATCGTCTCTTTTTTTCAAATCAAACACTGTTTTTGAATTCACCACAAAGTTATTGTTGACAACTGACAATTGTTTGTGACGCTAACTGTATTTCAACTGCAATGTCACTTTAGGCAAAAATCTTACCGCTTCTTTAAAAAAAAACGTAACTCTGATTGAAATGAAAAAATCTGATTTTCTGAAAATTCACGAAATAAATTGATTATTTTGATACTGTTCAAATGATGTCGTCCGTATGAAAACTGAGGAATTGTACTGCTTCTTCTTCTTAACACATACTGTAAGTCGCCATATTGGAAGAAATAATGACAATACACTGTAAATATTCAATATGGCCGCTTCCATTGTGCACGATTGTGTGTACGATAGTGTGAAGAAGAAGAAGTAGTAGCATGCATAAAAAGTGTATTGGTTTTCATAAGGATGAATGATGTCGCGATAATTGAGAGAGATACCAACTTTGTCGATAAATTATAGTAGGTCGAAGATCTTTGAAGTACTTTTCTATACTCGCAGCAGAGAACTTCTGCGGGTGGATTGTTCTGTAGTCCAATAGCTCGGGGCTCATTGATCGTTGTTCCGGAAATTTTTTGACACTTTCCATTTGTTTTTTATTACTTTTTTTCATTTGATGCAATAAATTCGGCAAGTAATTTGTAATCTTCTTGATTGGATTTCAGTTAATGCGTTGTTTTGTTGAACATTTTATGGAAAAACATTTTCACATGAAGTAACGACGTAGGAGTATGGTACTTACCTGCCACATGTACTTATTTTGATATGATCTCACTTTTAAACGTTAAATGTGTTTCATTTTTGTTGACTCGAGATTTTTGATTCAAAATCACACAATTCAATACGAATCCTCATTTAAATTTTTTTTACAATGGTTTTAATGTTCATCAGCTATTGTGAACTCAAATGTCATTATTTCATTCGAATATCACAGTGTTCTAAATATAATAAATAGTTGAAGTAAAATTCATGGAATCAACAGAATACAAACCAAAGTGAAATGAAAATGCATAATTAAACATTTGATTGGAATTTCAATCTCAGAAATGGAACATTTTCGTTTTTTTTTTCATTATTCGAATAAATTGAATAAAATAATATGTCGAAACCATTTCAACCTCGTATATAAACTCGTGCCTATCATTCAATTCAAAACATATTGTGTATGCATCATTATAAACGCTAGCATAACGAAGCGTTACGAGCATTCATAACAATATAAAAATATACCGTTTTAATGTCATTTTAAAATCCTTTGCAGTGAAAAAAACTGTGCTTTCTATCATTTCAACATCATTAAAAGCATAAAATGCTCTTATATCGGACACATAAGCTCTCCTGATTTCATTATAATGCACTCTTCATTCTTTTGGCTGCCATTAAATGGTAAAGAGTCCCTCTCTTTCCAAGGGAACACAGTTTTATCCCATATCAGAATGAAACTTCATTATTTTTCAATTGTTCTTGGTTGATTGTTGAAAAAAAAAAACATATTTAAATTTTAAAGGCAAATTTATACTAGATTTCGTCGATTGTCATTTTAAAAAGCTCCTTATAATTTCCTCTGAGCTTTTATAAGCTAATAAAAGCTTTCATTCAGCTATTCTGCTTTCATATATTATGGCAATGTCGTTATTAAACAATATTAAGTAGCAGAGAAAAGTTTTGAAATATGTGAAAAAGTTTGTTGAATATTCATAACGAAGTTTTTGCATATATTATGTCTTGCTTTATAATGCCATAGATATTCTGTTATTCAAATTAAGTGAAAAGGAAAATTTCTGGTTAAAAAGCAGTGAAAAAAAAACAATTTCAAAAGACAAAAAATAATCATCAAAGTTCATGTCGATGTGAATGCCGTACATTTTTGTACGCATGAGCGATACCAATATTGAAAGCCCATAAAAAAGATGTGATTTTTCTTTCTGGTGTAATACAAGGTGAGCGATTGAGTTTGCAAAACTATGTGTCAAACCCAGTCTATTGAGGTAAGTATTTGGTTTTCACCAAATTTTGCAAGTCAATTTCGATATGTGAATTTCTTCGAATATGTGTGCCATCACTGTACTGTAACTATTGTAATTCAAGAGAAAAAAAAATGTGTGAAATAATTTCAAATGGGAAAGATCAAGTAGCAATTTCGCTAGCAATTTAAACACTGATATCATTAATCATTCGAGTGAAATCATCAATCATGAACTTGATCTATTCTACCTCAGCTCGACTCTGCTTGGACACTTTCAAACGATGTGAGTGTGAAGCGATAGTCACAAGTAAAATGGTAAATATGAGAAATTGTAGGCTACACTTCTTGCTCTCTTTCTCTCTTTTTCTCTTTCTCTAACGTGCAAGTATATAGGTGTAACAAGAAGAAGTCAAGTTGTATCGGTGCACATACAGCATGCTGTATTGTTGGGCATCCAATTTTATCTCGTAGATTCACTGCTCAGTGTTGAGTTAACTCTCTTCTTTAACACACAACAGACTTCACTCTCTGTGTATTGTAGGTATGTGTTACGTTGCTGTGCAATGTGCAAAGAGCGGACTGTTGTATGGGTGGAAGCGAACATTCGATATTTGTATGTGTTTCTTCTTCTTAGTTTTGCATGGTATTTCTCTTTCGTGTGCGAAGAGTGGAACCAACACACGAGAAGCCATTGTATGTTGTGTGCTAGACAGACAGCTGAGCACATTTGATGGTGTGTACGAGCGCGCATGAGAGTGGAATACACACAATAACGGAGTCAATTGTATGTATATAGCAGAAGCGTCATAGCTGTGAATGTGAACACGATAGTTGTTGCTCTGGGAACCGCCTCTAGTTTCTGATAAACCATCATCAAACACAGTTGTGCAGCACAGAGCACACGATTACATACGTTCGTTCATTCATTCCCTCGCTCTGACTAGTGTTTTATTATTATTATTATTGTTATATTTTATTTTCTATTTTCAACTTGATCCGATCGTTCTCCGGTGTTGATTGTGATTGTGAAACGACAATTAATGCCGCACTTTTTTCGGTGAAGACTGCTAAAGAATGAACAACATCCAATTCTCTCGTATCTAGTGATTTGAATTTGATTTTAAAAAATCGTCAACATCAACAAAAAAAAGAGAAAAAATTCAAATAGCAATGAAGATTTTATCAGAATAAACAACAGATCCAATACAAGCGAAGTGTCTGTGTTAACGAAATAAAATCAACGAGTTTAAAATAAATGTAAACAACCCGGTTTTGTTGACTTCATCGAATTCCAAATTTCATAGAATTTATTAGACGTGCAAAAAAAAATTCTCTCCTTTTCTGCGTGAAGAAAAAACTAAAGATTTGAGTCACATAGATTTTAATGTGACGTTCTCTTTATTGGACCTTGGTGTCAACAAAGTTCATGTTGATATTTTGGACAACTCACATACACACACACAGCGTTTGGACAACGAAATACCTTCGCATTTCAACCGAAAATACTCGCAAGTGAAGAAGACGACGGCGGTAAACACACAAAAGACAAAAAAGAAGAAAGAAAGTGAAAGCATTGTAAGAATTTTGCATTTAACGATGAATTAACTGGACTTGACTTGAATGAAGAAAGCTACGATACAACGCAAAAAAAAAAACTCAACACAGCGCACACATTGTCGTGGAGTGAATTCGATACGATTCATTCGCGAATAAATCGCTCAAAGCAATCGAACATACCGTATACTAAATAACGCGGAGAGAAAAAAAATAAATAGCACGAAACATATATCTATATATATAGGTCTCGTGTATATTAAACTATCGAAATAAGTGAAAACGATTTAACAGATCTCTCGCTCTCCATCCATCTATCTCATTCGTTTTTTTTTTCACCAAAAATTGTAAGTACCCATCAATATAAGATTACAGAACAAACGATTTATATAAATGTTTTTTTTTTCTCCTTTTATTTGATGATGTAATGAATGTTTCGATTAAAAATTGATTGAGATTTGAAGCAGTGTTTAATATTTGGATTGAGCCTAGATTTATCTTGATTTTATTCGTGATTTTTGACTTGATTCTGACCAATATCAAGAAAAAAAAATCCACGCATTTAACGCGCATTTCCACTCTGTATACATATATGAATGTGGTGATTCTTTTCAATTTGATTGAAGTAGCCGAAAGGTCGTGATGAATCACATAAACGAATGGTGAAATCACAAATGCATGGCACACATACGCACATAAACTTAAAGCAAAAGAAATAGTTGAAACGATGGGCGATGGCGAAATGTTGATGGTGATAACGGCGGCGACAACTGCGGCAGCAGCAGCAGCACCAACAACAGCAACTAATATGGCAATGTGATATTGACCACATGATACGTGGCTCAAGCGTGGGAATTGGCTGTGCATAGTTTCGTTTGCTTGAGTATCAAAATTATTGCTCTAAAACAGAGGTTTTCTCCTATAATGCAATCAATTTCAAATACGACAAAATACTAAATCGATCATCATGTCATTTTTGCACTCACAAATATATAAATGAATTGGTTTTTGTTTGAGCAAATTGACTTTAATCCACACATATACACACACAAACACAAACACAAAATAAAATAGAACTATAAACAAGTTTTGAAGAATTAAACGAACTATGAAATAGCGTTAAAGTGAACTTTAACACCACTTGAATTGAACATTATCTTGTTAACATGACAACCACAAACACACTTCTACTCAAAATTCTCTGTGATATTTTCACTTTTCTCAACTCTGTTCTAGATTCAATCTTATTTATTTGCTCATTAGTGTCGACACCAATATTTTTTCCACTTGCCATAGTGAATAGCAAACAAACTATTCACTATTGCAAATAGCAATTCCTTATTTACACGGAACATTTGAGAATGTATGTTGTTTTGACACGACCTGATACTCGATGATAATTTCTATCGAGTTATCTGCCATCCGCAGATTTTCTTCAGTTGACCCAATAAATGTGGAGCTCGGTGCTTTGAAAGTACTATAAGAAGATAAAGAATATGAAGAAAAAGAGGAAGAAGAACCACATCACTTCAATAGATGCTACATAAAAGAAATTAAAGTGGTCACCAATCACTTATTTCTTTTGCCACACTTAAACTTGCTCGGTTATGACTAAGTGCAAACTGTTTGTCGGGCTCCGAGTGTTGCAAGTTATTGAAGGAAAAAAGAAAATAACAAATCTTTTCGTCGGTTTCAGAATGCCTTTCCATTGTAACCACTAAACTTCGTAGCATTTTGAATGTTAAATGTCAAATATGTTTTTTTCTATTCTAATGAATGAAACAACCTGATTAAATGGCAACTGTAAAAAAGATCAATTTAATAGAATGTTAATGTTTGGTTTACCGTCTATATTGTTGGTTTATTGCAATTTCTGGAACAGATTAGTTTTATTCTCATCTAACATTTCAGAGCCACTGTCTTCTAATTTTTGGCACGATTTAAATAATTTCAAATTGTCGCAATTTACCCAATTAATGACAAAGCAAAGATGTCTACTAGTGCACGTTTTCTTTGGCAATCATTGAAACAACTCATTTAAAGAATATGTGAATTTAACATTTATGCGCTTTCTAAAGATTTAAAACGAACAAACATTTCATGACGAACTCAATGAGTCTCTATTTGCATTTACAGAATAACTCAATGGTTTTTTTTTATCGATTTCAAGTTAAATGACAATGTATAGGTACTAATTTCATTTTACCTTTTTACTGAACATTTTTCGATTCATTATCCGAAGGAATGGGACAAAAAATAATCCAAAATACGATTGTACATGATACCTCCGATTTGAATTTACAGAAAAAAAATGCATCATTGACCACCATTGGATATATTGACGAAAGGAAATTTAAAAGAAATATAACAACAACAGCAGCGGCGGCACGTGATTAGCGTGCTATTGTATGTTGTTAGAAAGTGTGGATTTTTAATTTAAAAAAAAAATTGCCATTGGTTGCCTTGATGGTTTATTGTTTTATGTGGTATAGGAATAATTGAAAACCGAATTGAAAGAAAAAAAAAACCGCATAATTATCATTGGCCACAAAAAAATAGGGAAATAGAAAATTTAGAACAATCCACTGGATAATTGAATGTACGCGTACACAAACAAAACGTATAAACTAGAGATAGAAAGAGAGAGAGAGAGGAAAGTCAATGTCAGGATTTTGACCGAATTAACACATAAATAAAAAATTTCTCAGAAGAATTTTTGCAGTTATGGTTATAGAAGCATACAGTCATTATGTGCGCATTGACTGCGAAATAAAAATGGCATGAAAAAAATCTTTGTATAACCTATATATTTCGATATGATTTTGATACGCATGACGGAGTTGCTGTCTGCACTAGTGATGATGATGGTAGTCGGTTGCTGTCAGAGTTTAATTTGCCCAATATGGAGTGTGAAATGTTCAGCAGTCATCATACCGTTTCACTATATCTATCTAAAAAAAATCATTACGGATGATGATACACAGTAAATTTACACCAAAATCTAATTTCGGAAATAAAAAGAAGTGGTAATTTTCTTTAGTGATTGAAACGAAAAATAAAGGTTAAAATCTTGGTATATCCAGGTGCAAATACATTCGAAAAGAAAATACAAATACAAATTGCACAAATGAACACTAATCATAGCGAATTCCAGTTATCAGTCGGATGTGTTGCAGTCTTAAACGCAGCTTATACTCTTTGATGTTAAAACTGACAAATTGCTGCTATGGTTCAACATTAAAAGTAGATCAGCTTTTGCAAGATTGAAAAAGAGAAAAAGAGGAGGAAAAAAATTGACTCGACGCTAGAACATATTACATGCAAAAGCCTTTACATGCATAGCGAATTATTTGAATGCCGTTTTCCTTCGTATCGCATCGTAAAACATGAAACGAGGCGCACAGAGAGACATGCATACACACATAGAGAACGAGATGTGCAAAGCAATCTTAAGAAGCCGAAGAAGAGGTCCAAATAGTCTCGATCTATTGCACTTCGAGAGATGCGCGCATACAATCACTTCTACTTGATTTAATTAATATATGTGGAAAATGCATGCAACTCGATCATTTGAATGTTCGAATTTTAAAGCTGTGCAATTTTTTGTTTGTTTCGTGTTCTCCTTCTGTTCCACCAAAAGAGAGAGAGAGAGTGAGAGAGAGTGAGAGAGAGAGAGAGAGAGTGAGAGAGAGAGAGAGAGAGAGAGAGAGAGAGAGTGAGAGAGAGAGAGAGAGCGTCGAGTGCAATTCGCCGCAGTTGACTTTAAAAGTCAGCCAGTTTGCGTTGCAATAATAAGTTAAACACGTTGTGTGAGGTGAGATTCTTTTCATGATTCTTTATTACAAGTAGGTAAAAACAAGTTTATCTGTCATAAATTAAAATAAAAAAGCAAGCAAAAGAATAAGAAAACCCATGTCATCGACTCTGTTGCTCTTGAACAAAAATATATTATACATTTTGGAGAAAAAATCTTGACTTCAACTAATATTTCGTAAAAACACTCAGTATTTTTGTGCATAAACGAAAATAAATTATTATTTTTTATTCATATGAAATTCGCTCTAAAGATTTCACGAAGTACGGTTTTGCACACATTGCGCAACGGAAACCGTAACCGTACATAGGTACAAATCACATATATGCGTCAAAAGTCTCAACAAAGAATACATAACAATAATAATAACTGCTCCACTAGAATGACACTTGCACGCGGAGTAAAAAAAAAAACTTTGATTTGTCACAAACAATATAGTGAGTGATAGTCCAAGGTAGAGATTTCAACTGAAAAGATGATATAGGTAAAAAACAGTTTTTGCAATTGTGTCCATGTGCTTCAAATCTCTTTCGATATATATTTCGAACAGCGAACGTTTTAGTTTAAAAGTTGGCGAAAAAACATTTTTTTAAGCATTATGAAATTGTCAGCTTGTTGTTTTTTTTTTTCTTGTAAGAGATTACGTTTCGGTTCTTGCGTTATATGACATTGTATTTTGGGCATGGAAGAAAACGTGAACATAAAACAATTTACAACTGCACTAAAATATGAAAAATGAAAAAATTCGAGCCCGATAAGTAATCGTGTGAGCCCATACTTCTTTGCTTGAGTGAGTGATGCAAACCATCGAAATACTTTGAAAATTATCATCACGCGCGCGCGCACGCACAAACTTAAATATTCGAAAAGCCGATTTACAACCGAGTATCGACATTTAGCATGAAAACCATAATCACATTAATAGTATACCGTCAGTGCATGCGTGTTGCATGCCCATTATCATTGCTATTCGTCGATGTTTGCGTATTTATTTGATGTACGTTTTTTCTATCCTGAAAAAAAAACGAGTTTATGCTTTGAACGAGAAATGAGATTACTTAAGTACGTACATCACATTGAATATGTAGTTTTTTTTAGAGTTCAAATCGTTTGTTACTGTAAGCCCTTGAATAATCAGTTGACATGAATCCCCCGATGTGTCAGAGGTGTGCAGAGAACAAATTTTTTTTATCCATTTGCTGAACGAGAAACAATGTCAATAGCTGTAGTTATCAGTCGAAACGAAACAATTAGCAATAATTATAACGAATAAATAAAACTTTCTGGTGTATTTTTACATTAGCCCAAAAACAAAACCAGAAGAATGTACTTGTTTTCTACGACTGATTTGATTTCTTTGACTTTAATGATTGTCTGTTAAAAAAGAAAATTTTGAAAATTGATGTTAGGTGCGTAGCTATAAAAAATGAAAATTTGCGCGCGGCGTCTGGGTTAGTTGAGATGTTAAAATGCGGTCGCTTTTTGTGTTTGTTGGCGAAAGACAATAGAGGATGTGGTGAATGTAGGGGCGGT